CCGACCCCTCTCCCACCCCCTTTGGGGTGGAGTGAGGGGGGCGCAGGTGGCCATTCCTGGGCGGCCACCAGCCACACCAGCTGCCGCCCCCTCCCCAAGCTTTGCAGCTCGCCCAGGGGAGGGAGAGATAGCCCTCCCCTCCCCTCTTTCCACCGGCGCCCCCTCCCAAAAAAGGCGGACCACCTCTCCATCTACGCCCGCCCGGGAGCATCGCCCATGCGGGACAGGTACGTGCGGCGGATCGGGACCCTTGGAAAGGCACTCCTTTCTCCCTCCCCCTTTCTCTCCCCCCCCCGCCCACGAAGCCTCCTCTTCCTCCTCCCCAGTGGTTTTCCTCCTCCTCCCTTCCTGCCAGACAAAAGGTCTGCGGGGAGGGGGCTTTGCCTATTTTCTCCCCCAGAAAAAGCTGGACGGGGGGGTTGATCCAGGGCAAAATTTTTAAATAATTCCCCCACTTTGACAGGAGCAACAGCTCCCCAGGGACTCCCCCGGGCGATGCTGGGAGGGGGGGTGAGAGTGGCACCCCACCACCCCAGAGAGCTTCACATTACAGGTGTTTGTGTAGATGATTCCCAATGGGAGGGGCACATTGTTTGAACCTGACCCCCCTTCCCTCCACGTTTTGGGGAGAGTTCTGTCCCTACCCTTACAATCCCTCCCTAAATCTGGATCTCCTCCTTGAGGCTTGGGGCTCCCTAAATATTTTTTCTGGGGGGGCGGAGCTTTCATAGGGATGAAATCCAGTTTTTTGGACCCCCTTTTTGCTGCCCCCCCCCAGCCTGCATGGTCCCTGAAAGGCAGGGATTGAAAGAGGGTTTAATTGCAAGCCAAGGGTTTTTAAATGCCACAGGCTCTCCCTTTTCTTGTCCTCGGCAAAAGAAGCTCGTTGGGGATCACCCTGCATAATTCTCACCCCACCCCCCAGGTTAGATCCGCTGGAACTTCCTGCCACAAGATGGGGAGGCCAGGAGAGGCTACCCCCTGGCCAGCATCTCCCTCCTTTCCTCTTTCTTCAGCAAAAAAAGGGGGAGGAATTCTGTGTGGAGGCACCGGCTGGGGCCACAAGATTGGCCCAACCGAGCCTCCGTGTCCAGTGGCAGTCCACCTGGCTTTGGGGAGAGTTCGCGCCCGCTTGCAGGGTTTGTGGGGAGCCGCCGCTCACTGGCAGCGACGGCTGACAGAAGGCAGCCCTTCTGAACCGGCGGTGGTTCCTCCACCCATGCCCCACGGACACACCCCTCCATCCGTCAGCCACTGTCGGACGGAAGACACGGGTGGGTTCGAATGGGACTGGTCTTTGCACCCGCCTGGGGTCTCCCACCTCAGAGAGGGGATGTTTTGAATCCAGGACCCAAAGCATAAGTAATTAAAACGATCTCCCAGCTTCTTGGGCTTCATGAGAGCCCAGGAGCTTCCGTCCCACCGGCTGGCTGGGCTAGAGAGCCCTGATGGGTCTCGTAGTCCACCACACCTCGCACGAGACAGCCAAGGACCGTTCCAGCCACGGCTTGAGTTTTTTGCCTGCTGGGAGAGCCTGGGGCCGAACTGGATATATTTTGGGGTGGGGGCGGGGGCTGTACATACCGGCTTTCCTCTTTGCTCAGCCCCACTCATGCATCCCAGGGTGGTTTTCCCTTCCAACAGATTTATTTATTATTTATTTAATTCATTTAATTTAGGACTAGGAGCTCAAGGATGATGGAGTCCCCTTGCTCAGAGCCCAGAATCCCCAGCAGTCTGGATCATGCTTCTCTCTTTCTGGGTCTCTTGCTGCTCAGAGACCGGCCACCCACGGCCCACAGAACCGGCGTGGTCCTCCCCAGCGACTTGCAGAGGGTGGGACCGGCCACGTCCCGTGGGGTGGGAATCCGGATTCCAAGAAAGGATCCAGAAAACAGGGAGCTTCCCTTCACCCTCTCAGGAGGGGCGCTGTGGGCAAGGCACCCCCCCACCCCCAACCCCGCCTCCCTCCGTGTGACCAGAGACGAGGGCATCGATCCGCTGGCTTTAACTGGGTCAATGCAGCATGCCAGGGAAGGGCCTGGGAGGGCTGGCCAAGCAGAGGTGGGGGGGGCTGAATGGGTGGGAGGCTGCCTGGGTGGGTCTTGGCCAGTCCCACTTTTGGGGTGGGGTGGGGGCCTTTGGTTGTGCCCAGTTGGGGCCGGCTTTGCTCTGCCTACACAACAAAGGGAGATTCATGCTTGTCCCTCCACAGTGCCTGAGCCGAGGGCCGGCCCCTGGGCCCCCCTTCTTCTGGACCCCCCCACACGGACACCATGGTCCCTGCCAAGGAGAAGCCCAAGCCGCCCAAAGACAGCATGACGCTTCTCCCCTGCTTCTACTTTGTTGAAGTGCGTGAGATGAATTCTTTTTGCAAGCTCTCCCTGAGAAACAGAGGAAGGTGGTGGTGGTGGGGAACCCCGGGAGGGGAGGGAGGTTCGCGGGAGCTTGGGGGGGGCCTTGCTTTCAGTCTCCCTTGGCGTGAGAGTGGGCTTCATTCCGAGGGTCTTCTGGGCCCTGGGTTGAAAGCCCCCTCTCTCCCCCCCCCACCCCCATCTCCCCCAGTTGCCCATCGTGGCCTCCTCCATCGTGACCCTCTACTTCCTGGAGCTGACCGACCTCTTCAAGCCGGCCAAGGTGGGCTTCCAGTGCTATGACCGGGCCCTCTCCATGCCCTACGTGGAGACCAACGAGGAGATGATCCCCTTGCTGATGCTCCTCAGCCTGGCCTTCGCCGCGCCGGCTGCCTCCGTGAGTAAAGCCCCTCGGTCGGCTGGTCGGTCCAGCTGGTTGTCCTTTTTTTATCTCCTTCCTTCTTGAAGATGTTCTTCCATTCACTGAAGAAACAACTGTAAAAAAAAGTGGTTTTTATTTTATTCTTTCTCTTACTCATATCTCTAAATGAGTTATTGAGATTGTGAGTGCCAATGAGGGAGGGGAAAGGGGTGGACCCATTCGGGGGGAACTGAATGCTGTTCTCCTCTGGGAATCTCTGCCATGTGGCTGTGCAGCTAGAAGAATTGAACCAAACATTCCAAACTCTGAAACATTCTCCCCCCTCCTGATCCCCAAATCTTGCTTCTTTCCTGCTCCCGCCAACCTCTGGGCCCCACAGATCATGGTGGGCGAAGGCATCGTGTACTGCCTGCAGTCCAAGACGAAAGGCCGGGGCAGTTCCGAAGGCAGCATCAACGCCGGCGGTTGCAACTTCAACTCCTTCCTTCGACGGACGGTCAGATTTGTGGGTAAGGCGGTCAGCGGCCAACGACCCTTCCGGCCCCTACGATCTCTCCCCCCCCCCAATCTCCTAAAGGAACTGGCGACTCTTACTTATGGCACTCCAAAAAAATGATCATAAATGAGGGTGACGGTTGCTTTCCAAAGGAATTTAATCCAAGGAAT